TTTAAAAAATCCTAGATTAAATGAGGCAGAATTAAAAATTTTAAAATATCGATTTAATAAAATAAAAATTGCTTGAAAAGAAAAAAAAACATCAAATCACTGATCCAATATCCCCCATTAAAGTTAAAGCGTTTTACAGTTTGAGATACAAATTTTGAAAAAGAAAAATATACAATAAGTTTTTTGAAAAAAAAGAAAAGATCAAACTCATTTCTTTGTATGAAAAATAAAACACTTTTCTCAAATGAATTTAGCGTAACCGGCAAAAGAAGATCCTTGAGTTGGACCCTCCTATACCTTCTTGACAAAGACCTTCCTCCAAACTCTTTAATCATTGAAGATTATTTAATAATTTAAAAAACAAATCGATTTTTTATCGCAAGGTTTTAAATGATTAACATCACAAATGAAATCATGACCCTGAGATAATTAAACAAAGATGGGAGAACATAGTTTACAAACAAAACATCAAAGAATTTAAACAACAATAAATCAAAGAATGCGTAAATTAAATCTACTAAACTATATTGAAGTAGGCTTAACTCGCTTAATAAAATAGGAAAAGCTAGCCATTAGAAATATGATTAAGTGAATTTTACTCACTCAGAGCAACCCATCTTGGAAACTTGATAAGGTGGTGGAATACAGAAAGTATAAATAACAAAATAAAAAGCAAAAATATATGATGTTTTTTGTTGGTATTTTGAGTTTTGGGTACTAAATTAAATAATTGTAGTTCCATTTATTCAAAATAAGAATCGGCTACAATAAGCACGAGTATAGTAATTTAAGATAAGTTCGGTATGGTTTATAGTTATTAATCACAAGCGATAATTAGAAATGAAAACGAACTTTTTGAAAATAATAGTAGACATATAGCCTATGAATAATCATAGTCTACATGTTACATGTGGTTATGTGGATCTTACATATGCATTTTACAATCATACAACAATTAATCTTGGATTTTACTCTTTCCTTTCTGTTGTCCTCCACTAATATAATGCGTTGTGCAGAAAACAATTATATAAATTACTATAGCTGTGAGATACAAGCTTCTTACCAGAGAAATTTTCACATTTTATAGTGTACTTCTAGCCACGGCTTAATATTAAAACTCCTGTTTTCTATTGATGATAGAAATAATTAATCTAGAATTCAGCTTGAAAGTCTCCCAGTTATCCAAATGAGAAAGGAAAAAATTCAAATAGCTAGATATGAGATTTCTTTCAACCATAGAAAGAAAATTTCAATAACTAATAAAGAGTTCATAATCTATACTAATATATCCATTGTAAATTGACGTTCGGAAATTTTCTCTATTTTCGAAAATTTCTTCATTTCTTGGCTTAATTAATGAAAGGTCAAAGTGTTTTTTAAGTTTCATGTATTTTCGGTATTTTTTGTCATTAATAATTTAACTATATCTCGATATTTCTTTCTCTGATCAATAAGTTTTAAAGATCCAGGGCTTGTTGTCTTGCTACTATAGTAATCAAATACAGTACACGCACACGGTTGACATATTTAACGAACTTGTAGTGTGATTAAAAAAAATCAATAAACAAAAATGAAATCGTGAAGAGAAAGAGACGATTATTAATCATGATATATGATAAGTGAGTGGGCAATTATATGTAAGAGAGAGATGAAAAAGTTTAGCATGTCATCGATGGATCATAAAACAGTTCAACCTACTAGCATTATTATAAATTTATAATTAACAAAAATAAAAATAAATTACAAGCATTATATATGTAAGGTCTTCTTTGCAAGTCATATAAACCATATGGGTTTTCATATAGCATTGTGATTAACATCTTTTATTCTTCCACCTAATGTTTCATTTAAACCCGATAATAGCTATAGCTTCATGGTTATAAACCAAACATAGTCATTGTCTGAATGTCAGCAATCAACTATGTAACTAAAAATTTCATGCAAACCCTTAGCAAAAAAAGAAAAATCCCATTAAATGCTTTAATTATTGTACATGACATAAACACGAAAACACACTTTTCGTTGGCTACAAGATGGACGTGTGGGTGTCTCTTTCCAAGTGAAATAAGAAAATCATCAAATTTATAATCATCTTAATACCACAGGTTCCTTTTTCGTTTTATAATTTTTTTTTGAAAAATCTAAGAACGGAAACTAGCTTCTTCTACAATCATATATAGTTATAGGAAATATATAAATGATAATATAATAAAAATATATATGTGAAAGTGGAATGATACTTACATCCTTTTATCCAGAATGTATTAATTGGGAACCAAGCAACTTGAGGTCCATATCTCTTTATGGACACTACATGAACCCAAAATATTAATAAAACTAATATCAAAATAATTAAAAAATATGTATGAAAATACAGATCATGATCATTGTCTTCTACCTGTTAGCTTTCTTTTCCTTTTCCTTCATATCATGTATAAGCCTCTCCTTTTTTTTTTTCCTTTTTAATATGTAATTTTTTCATTGATGACAAATCCTAGTTTGTTGGAATTTTGAAACATTGAAATGTGGCCTAAGCTCTGATATAATGTTGGGCCTATCAAGCCCATCTAGAACCAATAAGGCTTCATGCACAACATGACCGGTGGTGGTTTGAGTGTGGTTTTCAAAATTTAACGACTAAACATATAGATATTCATTTTCAAAATTCGTGTGGTTAGGGGTACACAAATTGTTATAGTGAGGCTGGAGATTAATCCGTGTGTTTCAATGATATAGATGTCGGATTCACACACTCAAATATTTATACTATTTGTGGGTTTGAACTCTCAAAATCAAAAGTACAAGATTAAATATGTATAGAAAATATTATAAAATATGTATACAAAAAGTAGAGAGAAAACAGTATAGTATTGATACTATGGTCATATTTCGATGTCCCTTCTCTAGTCTATGAGATACTATATTTATACACAATGATTTACATTATTTACCTAATTAATGTGATAGTTCTCATTAAATGTGTATGTTTTGATTCTATCATTAATGTCAAAACATAGATTAATGTTTACTAAATTTTTGGGGGTCTAAACACGATTTTTTAGTAGCAGCAAAAAGGTAAATTTTGCCAATTATTCTCTTTAAAATCAATAATTTTTACCTTCTGTTATATATACTTTTTATATTTTTATATTTTGACCCTGGTAAATTTTGTTTCTAGGTCCACCATTGGTCATAACCTTAAATGTATCTAAACTGAAACTTTGAACATGTACAAGAAACGTTAAGCATAACTGATTAAGGAGTGAAAATTGGCCGGATCATGGAAAGAAAATGATCCGCCAACCATAGGAGCTGCCAACCTTCGAAGAAGTCTATCTCCGCTACATACAGAAGTCGAGGCCCTTCTCTGGGCGATGAAGTGTATGATAGGTGCAGACAATCAAGAGGTAGCTTTCTTTACAGACTGTTCAGACCTGGTGAAGATGGTGTCTTCTCCAACCGAATGGCCGGCATTTTCAGTGTATTTGGAGGAATTTCAGAGCGATAAGGACGAGTTCTCAAACTTCTCTTTATCTTTAATTTCTCGTAGTGCAAATGTAAAAGCGGATAATCTGGCACGAAAAATTCGTACAGAACCGTTTCATATCACATATGTAAACAACATTCCTCGGAAATGGCTCTTTTGAGCTCTAATTAATTTCGGATGACAAAAAAAAAAAAAGTGAAAATTGGCCAGATTTTAGTTGGTTTTGAAATAAATAATTGTTAATTTGTTGGCTTATTAGGTATCTAGCTGAGGAACCGATCAACCGAATGACTAAAACTTGATCGAATATTTTTATCTACACTATTAGTTTTCTTTCTAATACAAGCTTAACGTACGTTTTTTTTTTTTAATACAAGCTTAACGTTTACTATGCAATGCAGTGTATCTTTATTTATTTTGACCCACATTTCTACTGTTATCCACTTGTAATTAATGTAGCTAGTATTGTTTTATTTTTCTTTGTAACCGTTGATTTCATTCCCTTTTTAGAAAGTGGTCTTCCTCTCTTTCCGGTTGGACCTTTTCTTTTTGTAATGTAAAATTTACTGACCAAGAAAAAAAAAAAACCTTTGCCTCCTTTGATTTTGTTCACGCTAAGTATGGTAAATGGTGCGTTTGGAAAGCTAGATTCAAAAAATGCCTTTGGAGCTCGGCTTTATTCTGATCACCACTTTCACTGCGATTGTGTCATGTTTGACTTTGTCTCATGCCTTATTGCATCCTAATAGCGTGTCTCATAATGTCTCCAGAAGCAGCTATTACTTGACTACCAATGAACTATGGTTTAATCAAACCCTAGATCATGACTCTCCTAATGTAACTTCTCTTCAACACCGATTTCTTTCGTTCTTTGACTTTGATCTAATTGTTGTTTCGTCATTTAAAATTTGTTTGAAAGATATCATTGTTCTGATTTAGTAATTTTGTTGAAATGCGTCTATTTGAGGTACTTATTGAATTAAGATCCTAGAGTATACACCTTTGATCAAGATTTTGTGATTATAAGAACACCTTTTCTTATTACTTTTGAAACTAACTCAAAACAAAAGTACACAAATCTCTCAATCTCTAAACTCTCTCATATGACATACCACATCTTTGGTAGCTCATATTTATACACACAAAACATAAGACCTAGTTTACAAACCGACTTGCTCATAAACCGACTTTAACAAGATATTACTTAGGTTTTTTTAGATATCTCCTAAAAACCCTTAACCTTTCACCTCAAGTTAACTTCTAACTCTAGTTAACTTCTTAACCATAAGCTTCTAACTCAAGCTTACTTCAACAGTACTTTATTTGAATCATATGAGAATTGAAGTTTAGTTATTCACAGGATCACCGCAAATTCAAACAGCGATACTATGAATTTATGGACTACTTTCGAGCTCCAGATGGGCCTATGTTTATGATAATATGCGGTGAAGGTCCTTGTAGTGGCATAGCTAATGATTATATAAATGTAAGATTTTATTAATTTGATTTTTGTAAAAAAATCTAAAAAGATTGATGTTTTATAAACATATTAGGTATTAGCAAAGAAGTTTGAAGCTGGTGTCGTTTCACTAGAACATAGGTACTATGGGAAAAGCTCTCCCTTTAACTCATTAGCTACAGAGAATCTGAAATACCTTTCATCGAAACAAGCTCTTTTCGATTTGGCCGCTTTCCGACAATATTACCAGGCAAGTCTTGCTTGCTTTACTTTTATTTCATGAGATCATATCATATGCTAGAGGATGTTTCATTTATCTTTCTTATGATTTGTGGATGTAGGAATCTCTGAATATTAAGTTGAATATGAGTAATGGTGGTAATGAAAATCCGTGGTTCTTCTTCGGGATTTCTTATTCTGGAGCTTTAAGTGCGTGGTTTCGGCTTAAGTTCCCGCATTTGACGTGTGGAAGCCTTGCTAGTTCTGCAGTTGTTCGTGCGGTCTATGAATTCACTGAATTTGATCAGCAGGTATTAGTAGCATGCATAGTTTTTTTTACTATCATTCTTTGGCATGAACAGAAATAAACAATGTTCTTTGCAAGATTTAAGGTTAAATAGTAGAAATTATGAAGGTGTGAAGTTTTGGTGACAAGTTTGATCTTTGGTACATTATGAGAAGATAGGTGAGTCAGCTGGTCAAGAATGCAAAACTGCATTACAAGAGACTAATAAACTCCTGGAATTAGGGCTTAAAGAAAACAGAAAGGCAGTGAAATCTCTCTTCAATGCCACTGAGGTCTCTCTCGTTCTCTGCTTTTTAACTTTCCCTTGTTCTGTTCCAAATTCATAAGAATGGAACAGAAGTCCCACTTTGGTCTAATAAGTTTTTGAAATCTACAGCTTGATGTTGATGCTGATTTTTTATACTTAATGGCAGATGCAACGGTTATGGCGGTAATTAAGAATTATCCAAAAATCATTTTTTTCAGTTCCATGTTCTTTCTATTTTTGCATGATAAGTGCTATATATTGACATTTCAAAATCTTGTAGTTCCAGTATGGAAATCCAGATAAACTATGTGTCCCGCTTGTTGAAGCAAAGAAGTATGGTAGTGATTTAGTGGTAAGCTCACATTGTTTTTCGTCTCTCTTCTTGCTGCATTCGCTTTGGAAATTACAATATTAAACTTAAGATTGGGTTTGTAATGCAGGAAACATATTCTAAATACGTTAGAGAGTATTGCATGAGATTTTGGGGGCTCCGTGTAAGAACATATAACCGAAAACATCTAAGAAACACAGTAGTTACCGCAGACAGCGCATATCGGTTATGGTGGTATCAAGTTTGCACAGAACTAGGATATTTCCAGGTGGCACCTAAAAATGATAGTGTTCGATCTCAGCAAATCAATACAATGTAACATTCTTGAATTACTATTTGTTTACATTTTGTAAAGTCACATTTTTATTTATTTTTCCGCTTACTTGATTAGGTTCCATTTGGATTTATGCAAGAGCCTGTTTGGAGAAGGTGTTTACCCTAAAGTTGATGCAACAAACTTGTACTATGGAGGCGATAGACTCACGGGTATATATGTGACATTAAACCTTCTTAAACCGCTTTTTAGTCTATGCACATTATGATATTTTTTGAGGACTATGCAGCAACCAAAATCATTTTCACAAATGGGTCAGAAGATCCATGGCGTCATGCTTCCAAACAGAACTCATCTCATGAAAGTAAAGACTCGATCTTATCCCTTTCGACATCGATTTTGCTTAAGTTTTGTCTCGGATTTGTGCATTTTCTTTTTTAAAGACGCTAACAAATTCATGCGCCAGTGCCTTCTTACATGATAAAATGTCGTAACTGTGGCCATGGAACTGATATAAGAGGATGCCCTCAATCTCCAATGGTCATTGAAGGTATAAGCATTTGTGTGTTTTGTCCAAAAAGTTAAAAGAGTCTTGAAATAACAAATTTTCATTTTCAGGTAAATCAAATAATTGCAGCTTACCAGATTATGTAAACAAAGTAAGGCAACAAATGGTAGACCACATTGACTTGGGGTTGTCTGAGTGTCGCAAACCGATTAGGAGTTCAATATAGAGTTGCATTATTAGAAAGAACGTTTCAATTCAGACAAACAACATTATGCATTGTTTAGTCTTTGTTACTGATTTTTTAATCCAAATTTGAGTTAATATAGTCAACCTAAAGTAGTCGTTTTCTGTTTGGTAGAAAATGATGCAGATTTTGTATTTATTGTATGTGTGTCGTTGTTAAAGATAGTTTATAAGTTAACAAAGACTGCAATGTAAGAGTCTTTTACTTCTCTTCTAAATTTGCTTCTAGAAGAATTCATCATTTTTGTCATGGATGCATTTACAAAATCTATTTTTCTCTCAACCCTACTTTTTTTTTTCAAATGTTTAAAAAATTAGGTCTAACATGTGTTTAAGGGCGAAAAAAAAAAAATTTGGATCAAATATGAGTTTGAGTTAGATCTTGATCAATTAATTCTGAACAAATATGCTCTAATTTGGGTCAGTTTAAAAAACAAGTTGCAGTCAGTTTGATATGTAATAACTAGAGTAAATATAATTTACATTCAATAGTCTAATAGAATTCAAATCACCGCCAAATAAAAGCCAATTCATTTTCAATCTTCTAGTCAAATTTAAGTATAGTTCAATAGTGAGAACTGAGAAGTCATTATTTTTGTGCGTCTTTTGGATGCTTTTAACGATCTTCCATCTTGAAAAATCTATCAAATTAAAGCGGACGTCTCTAAAATCCGAAATCCTTAAACAATTTGACAACAGAAAAAGCATAAGAAATAAACCAAAAATGTCTTTCTATATAAGCTCTCAAATTTACAATAGAATGTATGGTTAAATATATAACTTAAGCTTAAATATATGCATAAAGCAATGATCTCCTTCAAGTTTTAATTTATATTCGAATTATTGGGATTATTTTACTTGGTCCACTGAAATTTACTTGTACAAAAATGGCGCTTGTAAGTTTGTATTTCATCAACTTGGATATATAGAAGTCATGTAAAGAAACTGGTTATATATATCTTGAAGTTGGTGATATTATTATTTTCTTATGTATTTTAGTAAAATCATTCCTTTCTATAACAATTTTTTTTATTTGTCATGTAAAAGGTGGACTGTTGAAGATTACAATGATAAATACATCATTCTTGTGCCTATATTAATACTTGGTATAATCTGTGATGATAAAATAAATGACTTCGTATAATCATAGAGTGGGTTCTTGTCAATCCATGTCGGACGAATAAATAAGTAGTTTTATTGTTGGGATCTCATTATTTATGTCTTATTATAAAAAGCAAGACCGTTGAATTTAAATCCGTTCTTGTTGCACGAGTGTTCGATTTATTTTCTCCCAAAAGACATGTAAACATATTCCTCTACACTTGTAACTTTTAAATTTTCATTAAGGTTGTTTTCTTTTCCCATTAAGGTTACAGAAATGGAAAATGATTTTTCATTTTTTTGTTTCGAATTGAAAGTGAGATCTCCAAAAATATAAAGTTTCTCCAATTCGAAAAAAAGGCTAAGCTTCATATTCATTTGGATATGTAGATATTGTCCATATATATTATTCATCTTAGTCATCATCAGTTGGAACCAAAATGCTAAGCTAATTTCATTTTACCCCCAAAAGAAAATAGAGGAAAACATAATTTCATATTGATATATATATATTTCTTACTGGAGTTTTTATAATAATTCTACCATTTTTTGGTTTACCAAAAAACCTCCTGATTTTTCTTAACAAGCTAATAAGAAATGCTGTTATTTATTTTTATAAATTCCTCTGATTTCTATCATTCGAAGTCAAAGCTGTTTTGTTCACGTTAAAAATGCATGTGATCCTATTTATATTGATAAATACATTTAACAATGACATTCTAGTGAGATTGCTCAGGTCACATCGGCCTATGATATATGATATATCAGTCGATTAATTCAGTTTGATAATATGATGTTATCACGAATTATATAACAACTGAGTTTTCCTTGGTTTTAAATATATATTTTATTTTTTCACTACATCCACATTAGCTATGTACGTACATGCATATATTGAGACGACATATAAAGATTTTAACGTGACATATTCATCTTTTTTTTTTTTTGTATCGTCGACATATTCAACTTTAATAATAGTCGGTTGAACGTATTACTTTGATCTTTTAACATGGATTTGTCATATGCAAAATATATGAATTAAAGCTTACCATTAAGCCACAAAGAAAATACAAAAGCTTACGCTACTAGAGACCAGAACGCATTAATATTATTAGGTCTATCTTCTATCACTTCATAGAGTTTCTTTTAACACTCATGTTTTGCAAGTGTCGTTTTGTAATATTGAAAAAGACTATTGTTATTAACAAAAAAAAATGAAACAAAAAGAAGGGAAACAAAACTCTAAAATATCAGTTAATCTTAGTTATAAAACATTATCCTGCTAGAAATCATTGCAACTTTAATAAAGCATTTAGTCTTGAATCGTTATGTCCACTTCGTTTTATTTTATATAAAAGTTTTGTCAACTAATTAATATCTGATTTTTTTTTCTTTTAAGAGAAAGAAGATCTCGAAATGAAATTAAAGATCTTATATAATATGAGAAGGTTTTTTTTAACTTTTCCTAACATTGCGACATTTGGCACTCTCTTTTGATGACACTTGTCCTCTTTTATTTTAACTTTGTATCTTTTAATTTAGTTCAAAACAAGCCTTAAGAATGTGACATTTGGCGTTCTACTTTTTTGACACATGTTATTTTCAGTTTATTTTTAATTTGAGTGCAATAAATCTGTTTATTTGATTTTTGAGAACAATAACCACAATAGTCCTCAAATCAAATTATAAAATAAAATCAAAATTATTTGATGATAAAATAATTTTTAAAGTATATGACAAGGTTTCTTCAAAACAAGCTCTAAGAATGTGACATTTGGCGTTCTACTCTTTTGACACATGTCATTTTCAGTTTATTTTTTAATTTGAGTGCAATAAATCTGTATATTGCATTTTTGAGAACAATAACCACAATAGTCCTTAAATCAAATTATAGAATAAAATTAAAATTATTTGGTGATAAAATAATTTAAGTATATTATAAAGAGATATTTTCCTACATTTTATATTTTCAAATAATTTATAGTAAAAAATAAAGATCAAATTATTAGGCGATAAAATAGTTTAAGTATATGCGATAATATGTTATATTTTTAATTTAATTTTATTTCTTACATATAGCATATTGCCCTATGTTTAAACTATGTTGTATATCTTACTAATCTCATGATAATTGAATTTTTTATAAAAAGATAATGAATATATTAATAAAATTGACTTTATCTATATTTTATTAAACCACAAACATAATACATTTAATTCTTTAATCATACACATTAATCCACCTTTTAATACTAAATTGTAACCTAAATCATATAAATTGTGTATTAACTTTTTTCTCTATTCAATGGCATTCAAACACACTATTAACTATTATTGTAACTCCATAATTTAATTTTTTAAAAAATGAATGTATTTTCTCATGGTGGAGGTTACATTTAAGTATTAATTTCCTATAATTTATTTCATCATTATAAGAATAGCACAATACGACACCAATCTCAAATCTCAACATGAGAGACCCAACATCCATCAAAAACCAAAATACATGAGGTTTTGAGCGTAGATTTGGTTTTTAAGTGCTATCTCTTCTTTTATTGATGCTTTAAATTTAATTTTATTGGTTTCTAATCCTTTTTCCTTCATATGTTATTTTCTTTTGTTTTTATGTTATTTTTCTAAGTATATTTCAGTCCATAATGTCATATGGTATTACGTTTATAATGGTAAGATATGTTGTGTATATTTGAATTCTATTATTTTTGATCAGAAAATAAAGAAAATATTTCCTAATATATATATATATGTTTTGTGTATGTAGACTATATTGTTAAAAATATTTCTATATGGTGATGAATTTTGTTTAGCTAACAATTCTAATAGGTGACAAGTTTTCAAAATCACTAAATACAATTTCAAATCTCATATAAAAATAGTCTTAAAAGTTATTCTACACATATATATATAAGTTGTTCTTTTTTTTGCCAACATGAGCCATATTTTTTCTTCTTCCTTTAAAATAAATTATTATGAAAAATTAATTTTCTGATTAATGCGGTATAAATTGAAAAAAAAAAAATTTAACAATCTTCAACTTAGCAATTTTCAATAATTACTCTGACATCTTATATATATATATAACTTAAAAAAAATATAACTTAAAATTTAATTTTTTAGTTTCAAAAAATCAGTCCGCAATATACCGCGGGGTAAAACTTTTAGATACAAAATAATATCAAATTATTATAATAGTCCATGATTATAAATGGTTGTCAATATTAACACTACATCACTTCTACACCTACAAATCTTCTAAGTACATCATTACAAATTAACACATTTAGGTAAACAAATACAACAACTCAAAAACAATATTCATATATTTCAACTATATCAATTATAATATAAATAAGTAAATGAGAAATAATTATTTTATAGTATGAATTTAAAAATCTAATAAATTATAAATTATTATATAAAATACATATACTACAATTTTGCTCCGCGGTGTACGGCGGGATAAATCCTAATTCATTTGGTATTTGTGATTTTCCCACGATAAAATAGATAAAAAGTAAATATCACAGCTTTGAGGAATTTATTTTATGTCTTACCAAACCCGGCTCAATAAATTTTAACGAATCAATATGTCATTTTTTACTATTCATATTATGACAACATGAACAAAACAAATGCACAAAATAAGTATTAGTAGTCACTAACACCAATCTACGAAAATAAATCATGTTTTAGCTAATCAACACGAAACTAAGAAATGCATTGTACCAATTGGATATAATGTTACTTTTTGCTGGATCATATTTTAAAAATATTTAAAAGTAAACAATACTTAAATGAGAACATACATATCCAAGCGCATAATTTCTTGACGATCCAACCTCAAATTCAGCAGTGTCGTTTATGTTCTACAACACAATTGTTGGCTAGAATGAAGATAAGACACATACTAAAATGAAGATGAGTGAGAGAGAAGAAAATGTAAATTTCAAATAACTAAATAAAAAAAAGAATTTAATTTAGAAACATAATCATTGCTTGAGCTGAAGTAGAGAGCTTCTTGTAGAGCATTGAAGAATGTTCCAGCCGTTAAAAGAACAACACACCAAGTGTTTCGAT